CTTGGAGGGAGAAGCATGACAGCAAGGGCAATCCAATCTGGCTGCGGCGGTCACGCTTCGTGGCCAGAGAATTCGCCTGGCTTGAGCCTGAGCGTGAGAGCCTTTTCTCTCCTGCAAGCGGAAGCATCATCTCAAGGATTCTTCCAACCATCTTCCTTGAGATGCGAGAAGATCATGATGCAGTTCTTGCAAGCTTGGATGTCCGTGACGCTTTTCTCACGGTGCTGCAGGAGAAGCCCACTTTGGTGCATACAACAGATGCAAGTGGTGTGACCAGGAGTTTTGCCCTGGGCAAGGTGCTTCCAGGCCAGCGGGATGGCTCACTTCTTTGGTACAAGGCCATCATTGCTTTTCTGAAGAAGAATTTGGACCTTGAGGAGCACACGCCTTACCCATGTGTGCTGAAGTCCAAGGACAACTCATGCGTGGTGATGATCCACGTTGACGATTTGCTCATCGCTGGAAAACGAAGTTTTGTGATGTGAAAGTTTGCTGAAGAGTTTCGCAAGGTCTATGACATTTCAATGCAGTGTCTTGAGCGGCCTGGCGACGAGATCACCTTCCTCAAGAGGCACCATGTGCTCCATGCAGATGGCAGATTGACCATCCACACGCACCACAAGCATGTTCTACAACTATGCTCTCTACTGGGACTGAATGCCAAGAACCAGAACAAGAAAAGCCCAGCTCATGCAGACATTGATCTGGAGGACAAATCTGAAGACCTCCAATCAGGAGATGCAACTACCTTCAGAACGTGCGTTGGAATCCTGATGTACCTGGCGAACGACCTTCCTCACTGCCAGTATGTGATCAGGTACCTTTCAACATACAGCTCCAAGCCGATGCAAAAGAGCCAAACAGTGCTGAGACACCTTGTCTCTTATCTGGCCTGCCACACATCAATCTCGATGTCTCTGAAGTGGTGTGGAAGAACATCTGGTATTTACCATGGCTATCCAGATGTTCAGCAGTCAGAGAACGTCCTTGAAGTTTTCACAGACTCTGACTGGGCCTCTGACAGACAGACCCGAAGGAGCGTTAGCTGCTGCTGCATCTTCTTTGGTGGCTGCATGATTTTCTCAGCGTCACGAACGCAGAAAGTGGTCTCACTCAGTTCTGCAGAAGCTGAAGTCTACGCTTGCAGCAGCGGGTCATCAGATTCCATACTGCTTGCCAGGCTTTTGACTTGGCTCACTGGACGCCGCACCTGGATCTATGTCTACACAGACAGCAGTGGTGCGCGTGGAATCTTGCAGAGGCAAGGGGTAGGGCGCTTACGCCACCTCAGTTGCCGCGTGCTCTGGCTCCAGGCACTTATTGCCAGTGGCACCATTCGTCTTTGCAGTGTCAGCGGCCATGTGAACCCAGCTGACATTGGAACAAAGAGATTGTCGGCGGCTCGTCTCAGAAGTTTGATGGCTGTTTTGGGCCTCTACAACAAGGATGTTGGAGCCTTGGAAGGAGGTGACGACCCTGGAAAGGTGTTCATCAAGCGCGAGAGCGTGAGGGCACTGGTTTGCGCCTTGAGCCTCCTGAACCTCAAAGGGTGCAGTGATGAGAGCCCAATGGAGCATGGATGGAATCTTTTCATTTTCACTGCGCTTCTTGGTTTTGTGATGATGGTGCCCCTCATGTTCACCTTGCTTGGTTGGTTTTCGACTTCTATGGAGGCTGATACAGCCCTGGATGCCATCACAGAGCCTTCCACTGAGGCCGCAGCTACGAACACCGCCAATCCATCTGGAACCAGTGCAAATCCAGTTGAAGTCACAGGCAATTCCCACACTGTGGCAGTCGACACACCTCTTGGCCCTGGCGAGGTGACAGTCTTCACTGGTGCTCGAAGCTCCAACGAGAGCGTTCCTATTTGGGGTGGTGTAGATGAATCTGGAATGCCGAGGTTCAGCACGGCATTTGAGTTGCCAGCCCCTGGAGATGCCTGGTCGCCTGAAGCCATGATCACATGGATGTACGGGCAATGCGCGAGAAGACATGGCATTGCTGCGACAGATGAGAGGAGGCAGCTGTATGCCGAGCGCATGGCCGTTCTCAGAGGTGTCATGCAAGGCTGCAGGTCCACAGATGCTGAGGTGAGACTGGAAGCAAGCCGTATGACCAGGTCAATGACAGACATCTCTGAGGATGAGAACAGCCCTTCCTATAGGCTGAGTACATCAGAGTTTTGCACAACGCTGGACGAGGCCGAAAGAGCAGTTTCAGTTGGCCAGCAGCTGGTGACACAATTGGAAGTGCCAGCGCATCCAGCAATCCAACAGCTGGAAGTGCTGCAGCTAGCAGCGCTCATGTGAATGCGGTGGCAGATGCAATGATCCGCATGCTCAGCGCCGAGAACCCTGAGGAGGAGACATCAGAGAGCGATGCTGCAATGGAAACTCAGAGCGAACGAGCTCGACGTTATGGCAGCTCTGAGCTCTGTGAAGTGAGCGACCCAGATGAGTGGATGCTGTATCACCATGGGCCATCTGATAGCGAAGATTCAGATAGCTTGTGAAGTGGGTAGCATCCATAGCCAAGCGGCTAATCTTTTAGGAGGTGAAGCTTGGTGACACGTCTCAAAGAGACATAGCAAGAAGTGGCACTCCAAATGGAGCCCCAGCGGCACTGTCATCAACCACCAATAAAGTTTTACTCCATGGCGATACCTGTTGCCTGAGGAGGTAGGTGTAGTGCTGCTGCATTGGCATTTGCAGCAAGGTGGGGTGCAAACTGTTTTCGCTTGTGCAGTGTAGGCAACAGTTGCATTCCATGTCACATAGATCAAGTGTAGTATCAGTTCTTATCTTGAGGCGCTTTCCTCTCAAGGAAAATACGCAAAATTCCTCCCCCGCTGCCTTGCTTCACAGACCTTCAGTCTCAATCTAGACTTCATCTTTAAATTCCACCCCCCGCTGCCTTGCTTCACAGACTTTCAGTCTCAATCTAGATTTCATCTTTAAATTCCATCCCCCGCTGCCTGGCTGAGGGAACTCATCAATGAACTTCTTGCAGCAGAAGAATTCTCAGATTCTGAAGCTGTCGAACAGCTGGTGCTCATGGTCTTGGACCGCGGCATTCCAAGACAGCCCTTAGATGATTTGGAATTTCACAGCTTGCTGCAGGACGTGGTGACGGGACTTGACATGAGCTTTCGAAGAGCGAACCAGCATTCCCGTTCCCGCATGGCTGCACTTTTCAGTCGATACGTGGCAGAATTTGAAACGCAGATAGGAATCAGGTGTGAGAAAACCTATGACCAATGCATGGAAGACTGGACACCAAAGGTGAATCTGGAAAGAATTTGGAGAAGAATTGCAGCGTGAAACACAAACTTCGATGGACCTACAGCCAACCGTGCTGTGGGTTGGTCAGAGAGAAAAATGGCCAAACTAAAACTTTGGCATTTTAGGAGGAATGCGAATCAGAAACCACAGCGCTCATCCATAGCATTTCACCCATTTGCACATGGAAATGTCATGTGAACCTATCCTCAATATTTGAGGCCCTGCGGCTCAAAAAGGTTGCCCGTTTTGCTTCGCAGAGATAAAATGCGAATGCCAGCTGCCAGATAGCATGTCAGAAAATATGTCAAAAAAATCACTTGGTGGGGACCACTCGAAGAAAGTAATTTGCTCCGAAGGCTTTCAAAAATTGACTTAAGACAACCAAAATGACGCCTTGTGTGGCCCTGCGCGCCTCATCGCCATCATCAACGACGCTGACGACTTAACGCATTTGATCTTGGATTTTTGCGCTTTGGCCGTGGTGACGTATTTTGCACCGATACGTTTCTACAAACAGACGATGTCACGCACAGAAACCTTTACACAGAACAATTTTTTCGTGCAGATATTCTTACACAGAAATGTTTGTGCACAAATAAACTTTTGTGCACAGACGCCTTTACACAGAGGTTTGTACGCAAAAAAGGAAGTATTTACACAGATGCTTTGCACAAAGATGCTGTTGCGCGCATAAATAAAGGCACATAGGCGTTTTACACACAGAACCTTTTCAACAGAGAAACCTTTGCACAGAACACTTTTTACACATGTTTTTTTCTACACAAAAAAACGTTTAACACAGAAAAACGTGTATACACACAGACTGCACACAGAAACTTTTACAAACCGACTTTTTTGCACGCAGAAACTTTACCCAGAACAATTTTTACACAGCATTTTTTTTTCGCACAGATGCCTTTACGCAAAAAAAATGCACAACAGTTTTTACAGACAGACGGTTTTTACACACAGAAAATTTTTCGCACAGAAGTCTTACGCACAGAAAATTTTACGCACAACATTTTTTACATACAGATGCTTTTACACACAGATGTCTTTACACAGACACAAATTGCACACAAAAAATTGTGCACACAACACGCGTTTACACACAGCCAACTTTTACGCAGTTCGGCTTTGTTTCCCCTTCTTGATCACCTACCTTTCGTGTTCCCCCTCTCAAGTTTTGTGTTGAAAGTGATCATTTTAAACATTGGCTGGACCGTGTCATAATTATTGATTTCCGACATTTTTGTTGGACAGATTTGCATAGAATTTGGCAATGGGACATTCGCCATCCACCCCAATCATATTTTTCAGTTCTGATATTCGCAGTCAAACAACAAATTAGACTGCACAGTTTTGGAGGACATCGGATGTTTTTTTTGCTGTCACGTTTTGTATTGAGTGGTATGGTCATCGAATGTTGTGGCACGGTATTTGCTAGACTGGTGCAAAGTGTATTCCCATAATTTCAATTGTTTCATTTTATTTTGGTTCAAAATCGGATTCGGCAAAAATTTATGCAGCATGGTTGCCAACATAGTTGCAGTCGTCAGACAATCATACAGCATTGGGGCGTCAAAACTTTATGAAACACTCTATTGAACAAAATGCAACTGAACCCCAAAACCACGAAACATATTTTGGCCATCACAATCCATTTGTCAGGACTAAATTCATTTTTACCCATGATTCACTTGTGTTGGCTGCAAATTTTTCCATGGCATATGGTGCTACACATGATGGAAACTCTACTTGGAAAGTGGTTCATCCACGCATCTCGGCTGGTCGAACTGCACCCGGTGACACATGATTATGCAAGGACTCATAAAAAAACTGCACATGATTGTTTCAAAAATGTTGAACGTCCAGCTTGGTGTTTGAAAAAAAACGAACACAGAACTGTTGGATGAAGGCCTTCCCATGCAGGGACATGCCATGTTCGTTCTGGCTGGGTGTTGGATGTGGCTGATGTGGCTGATGTGGCTGTGGGGTCAGAAACTCGAATCTTTAGGTACCAAACCGTTAAATTTTGGGGGATGTGCATCATTAAATTTGCCCGACATTTGAAACCTTCTCTCGCATCTTTTGCATTTTTATGCATATTTTTTTGAAACAAAGTCTGTATCGAGGGTTTCAGCCACAAGTTTCGAGTTCATGATACATAGTTGTTGATCTCTCCCTCTAAACGGTTCTGCGGTCTTTTCCCGCCAAAAGTAAATTTAATCTGGAAAGTGATGATATGTGATGATAGGCCATCGGAATTGGTGGTTTTCCCAACATTTTGAGACAAACCCAAATTTGTTGCATGAACCCATTTGATCCCATTTGGCAGTTTCAGAGTTTCACATCGCAGGCTAGGTTTGAGGTGCGAGAGTTTGATTCATCGTTTTTCCCGGTTTTCCCAGAATTGGTTTGAGGTAACATTTAAAGGACACCCCTGTGGTCAGCTTGTAATCCTATGGTTTTCTATCCATTTTCCTCATTTTTTTTCCTAAACCAACCCAGTTACACTAGAATGCAGGCAAACGCTGATGGACCGTTTTCTTGGTTTTGCCGCGCCGCTGAGGAGTCATTATCCGCAAAGCTCCCAGCACTTCTGCGAGCATCTTGGGTTTCCATGCCCAAGGCTGGAAGTTTGGGACACTCTTAAAATGCTGGTTCGATGGTAAATTTCGATGCATATTCAACCAAATTTGGGCATTTCCAAATATTTTTGGCCTCTTTATTTTTAAGAGTTGAATGCACGCGTGTTGATTGCTGCTGTTAGTCGATGTTGCGAGTGATCACAAGAGGGGTTGCTTTGTTAATTGAGTCATTGACGAGCGTCTTGGAGGTCTTAAAAAACATGTACTATATACCTACATCTTCCCCAGTGTGCATAATTTTTGCCTTTTGAAGGAGTTCTGCCTTTTGTGGCGACTTAAGGCGACTTTACCCGACCACGGTTGCGACTCTTGCGATAGTAATTTTCACGCCAGCTTTTTGATAGCAAAAAATTCTCATTGTTTTCTAGGATTCTAGGCTAAATATGCCAATCCAAACATAAGGCAATTTTTTCACCAAATTCCATCAGATCGGACTGGGTGAAACTGGGTGGCCCCTTGTTTGAAAGACATCACCACACTGCGCTTTGCAACCGTTTGACAACAACACAGGGCAGTAGCACAGCCCACACTTTTTTGCATTTGGATCTCTCCCGCAAGAATGGGAAAACTCATTGGAATGCGTTTCTATTAGGTTTTGCTGGAGTGTAACCCTCAAAAGAAAAATATCGGAGCGGGCGACTTTACCCGACCATGCATTATTTCCCATTGGAGCAGGAGCATATTCCAGTTGAAGCCCATCCAAGGCCAAATTCAAACATCATCCAAGGGCAAATTCAAACATGTTCATGCCAGAGCAAACTCTTAAAATTGCAACAAATCAGTGTGTGACAGCTGAGGATAGGAACATGAAATAGTTTGGGTAAAACAACAACTCTACTGGGATAGCTTGGCTAAACCAAGAAATGCATTGGGATAATTTGTACAAACCAAGAAACTTGTTGGGATACTTATTGGTTACACTTAAACCAAGAAATGTTTTATGGGATAGTTTGGGCAACCAAGACATGGAAATGTAACATGTATGAATTGTATTAAGGTAATTTAAGGGTAAATCAGACCATGCGTTTTGTGGAGCAATTTGGTCCACGGGCAAACCATGGGTTTCCATGGATTCTCCGACAGGCGATTGAGACAATGGTGGTTACCTGGTTGGTTCTTTTCCCAGCGGATATGATCTGGTGAAAAACCGTGGTTGCTTTACAAATGATCACAGTCAATGGGGAAACCACTTGTCAAACTCAACAAGGGTCTATTTTTTTTTCCGGATTCCCTGGTGAGCCTTCTGCCTCTCTGCGCATTTACAAATTGCTGTGTCAGGCAAGCTCATTGAAGGGTCTTTGCAAGAGTCTTTTCTGAACTTGGAGCGAAATCACCTGGTGTTCTGGAGATTTTGTATACGTTCTTGCTGCAATAGCATAAAATCTCCCATTGCACCAGAAGGCTTGAAGTGTGCGAAGACAGCCAGTGACATAGTCAAGTGTGAAATAGGCATGATTGTCCACCAAGATCAATTGTGCAAGACCGAAGTCACAACTATCAATTGCTTACTGATCCATGCAGAAATGGCCCACCGTCAGCTTGCCAGCCTAGTTTTCTGCAGGAAGGTGCCAACCAACCATGGCTGAAAGTGAAACACCATGCAATGGATGGCCAGGACACGGTGACTAAAAAGCCACCAGGGGCGGCCAGGGTGGTAGGGATAAAGTTGTCCCAAGCCCTTGATGTTTGCGCAGCCGGGTGGTTTGGTGCTTTTTCATGCATTTTCCACCTTGGTTCCTCCACATCTGCTGCAATCGTGTTCACAGTTTTTCTTGCAGACCTCTTCCAAAATTGATTTCAAGAGACGCAATACTATCCCATTACAGCAAGATCATCATGATTTGGACCATCCAGGTCTTGAAATGTCTCCAAATTGACTTCCAATTTGTTAGGAGTGCGATGGCTACATGTTGGTGGATGGCACCTCCCTGGGCTTGGGCGTTTTGCTGGAGCGTGTCGAGCGTGTCCAGACCACGGCCGTCCAGGCCACCAGGGCGAAAGCTGCGCCTAAGGCCACCGCGGCCACCGCGGCCAAGGCCACCGCGGCCAAACCCAAGGCGCGGCACAAGGTCGACGTGGACGCTGGGCGTGGAAACTGTGGAAGAGCTAGGGCAGCCAGGAGTTGAGATTCCAAATTGGTGAGGTATCCAGGATCTCATTTTTTTGGGGCTGAAGGAACTGCGGAATGAAGCGGTTTGAAGGGCTTTCCCGCATGGTTTGAACAGGACCCACAATGTGCCATCCACATTCCAGCCCAGGATCAGCTCAGCAAGTGGATCAAGCCTGCCCCCACGGTGTCCATGGCACCCACACGGCGCTACGACGTGGTGGTCAGCAACGTCATGGTGCGCAGCTTGCCATCGACCGCTGCCAGCGCCGTGGGAGTGGTGAAGATGGGAGAAGTCTTGGAAGGCCAAGTGCGAGAAGGTTGGCTCCTGCTGCTTGGAGAACTTGGGTGGTGGGATTGAGGGGAAAACCAGGTGGTTAACAAGCAGAACATAGCAGAACAATTTTGGATGCAAAATGGTTGCTAGCTGTTTCATGCCCGCAGGAATACCAGCAATGTGAGAATGTCAAAATTGGTGACCGTAATTTCGAACGACACTCCTCCGGTTTATTGTTGTCTGAGTGAATCTGACTTGGATCAAGATCAGCCCCTGTAACACACCCAGGATGGACTCCGAACTCAGTGTTGAACGACTGGAGAAGGGCGATGGGCGCTGGGTCCTGATGGATGGAAAAGCCGCTTCGATTGTAAAATCAAAGACGCAAAGCTGTGAGATTCTACGGGACGGTTCGCCACAAGCCTTTTGAAAAAACCAGTTGCAAGTTGCAAGTTTCCTTGCAACCCATGTTTGATGCATTAAATTATCTGCCAGGGACCTTTATGTTAATAATCATCATTCGCATGTTTGGATCTGCAATTTTCTTTGCCTGAGAATGATGTATATCAAAAGATATTGGTGAACATACACCCCTAATCACTTGTACTCATAGACACACACACACAACAGACAAAACAACAATAACAACAAAAACAACAATTTTTCATGATACAACAATTATAAGTTATAATTTATAATCCACCAGCTAATTGTCCAAGGAGCTGGGTCTGGGACAATTGCTCCGCTTGCAACTCCCAGTGCCTTCGGTGACCAAGACCTTTGCGCACGCGCTACAGCTGAGCTTTGACCAGGACAGGGGGAAGAACCGTGGGGGTGGCCGTCTCAAAAAAGTGGGTGCAATGTGGCCCCAAATCACCATAGGGATAGGGGGTATGTTTACCATTCCCAGTCATGGGTGGTTTCTGGCATTGTTTTACCCACATTGAACCATTTTTATGGGGAAGATCATGGATTTTTCTTGATGTTTGACCGGATGATGGGCCTCAAAAACAGCTTTGTTAGTCGAATTTGGAGCCCCAAAATCCATCATTAAAATTGCCCCAAAACGGACGTTGCGGCCTGATGCCATGAGCCCGTAGGATGAATCATTCATTTCCTGTGTGAATAAAGCGTGGTCCTTGAAGCGTACGCATGATATATATATATATATCATCAGATGATGCGATTCACTTCATGACTAGATTATATCATCAATACTATTGGTAACCTGAACATCTTGTTTTTGTATGTTTTTGTCATGTGGGGAAAGATCCGTTCTGAGCCATACTGGTCCTGACTTCGTCTGTTGGAGATATCTCACCAGCTGGTTTAGGGGCGTGATGCGGCACTGGTGGCCAAAATTATCGAAAGGGACAGGAATGAAAGTAGCATGTTGGTTTCGACACATATTTTGCAAAGAGTCCAAAGAAGACATCCAAAAACCCTAGTTTTGTTCTTTTTGTTGAAGGACCAATGACAACGACAGGACACAAATCTGGGATCCTAAACCACGAAAATTCTCCTTTCTCGGGCTCCTGTCTCAGCACTTGTGTCATGTTGTCTTAGGGAGGTTTGACCCTGGTCAGGTGATGCTGACATTTTCTGCACAGAGGTATATCATGATTCACAAGTTGTGTCAAGCTGTTATGTCTCCAGATGTGCACCTAGAAGTGCTACTGTCACCGTAGATCACCGTAGTATGTAGATCTATTTCATGTGAGCACACCACCCTTGGGCCATTGGGATCAGGTGCCAATCCGGTCAGGATGTGAGCAAATACCATCTTCAAGTAGAGCCTGAAATCGGAGATAGCTTCCATGTCCGATGCCCCGAAGGTGGCCTGACATCGCTCAGTTTTCTGTGCACCCGGAGGGGCACCCTCCAATTGACAGGTAAATCCATGCTGGTTCATGGTCTTCACGCAGACTGCCATGCTCCTTGGACTCCTTGGGCCGGTTTGGCGTCATGATACATCGCATACATCTACACATGCACACGCTATACAAAAGATCCTCTTGTGTTTCTGTTGACCTCCCACAACCCAGGTACGATTGCGCTTTGCCCTTAACAAGGACAGCCTCATAAAGCTTTTTTGAGTGTTTTTTTTTGGGTGAGATCGCCAGGACGAAGGCCCCTTCGGTGAATGGGAGGCGGTGGAGACAACTTTTGTGGCCGCCTGGGAGGAAGCTGATGGGCCCTGTGTGGACTTGTTAGGCCCGGGACATGGGATTTTTCAGATTTTTCTTGGCTGAAGGATGGGAGAAAATGTCGGATGTGCCTCGGATGTGCCAGGAGTTTCAAGGCTGATGTTCTATCTCTTGAATCGCCAGGGGGGAAAGGCTGATTGAATTCAGGCTTTTTGAAGGATATTCTTAGACGGCAGAGGTTTTTTTTCTCAGATTCCATCAATAGCAAGAGGTTAGGTGGCAATTTGTGGCGCCAGCTCGATTTGGGGCAGCTGTGCAGGCAACCCCAGGGGCAGTTGCAAGCAATGTTCTTGCAAATGCTTTGCAACCTGGCGCAAGCATATGGATTGGTCCATTTCAGTTGGCCATGGGTTCCTTTTTCAATTGACATGAAATGACGGGGAACATGATTTTCTCCAGATTTTTGGTGTTTCTCGACAGTGACAAAGCCATCATTAAAGTTTCATGCAGCTCCATTCTTTAGTGTGTGTTTGGAGGTTGGAAGTCAGGAGAGAACTACTGTTTGAGTGTGGAGTGAAGCTTTAACGCAACAGAAGGGATGTGTTTTCACGCCTTTTTTGTAGGGAAATGCTGGGTTTTTCCTGGTGTCTGATCTTCGCTTCAGCACTGAGGCGTTAGAGAATACGGTGTCCTTAAACATGGACGTCAGTGACTCACGTGCGGCCCACAGGATCCCACAGGATCCCGGGAGGACGTTGAGAAATTTTAGGCAAAGCGAAGTGGATCAACGTTAAAATCGCCAGGAACAAATCTTTCTCTATTTTACTTGATGTTTACTTAGTTTGGGCTCGGACCCCTTCCAGCGGTCAAACTGAGGCAACAGAACGTTCGAGAATCGGTTTAGCCATGGAACTTCGATCGGTCACTGACATGCCTACGGGGTGTAGGTCAAATGTTTTGGTGGATGTGATCACGAAAACGGATGATTACATCGTTTGTCGGGATGTCCCTTTTGGGTCAAGCTTGGTTGTCCAATTTGGTGGTCACATGGACCAAAGAATGATGCTCTACCAAGCCACGAAGCTAGGTTGTAAGCATGACCAACATGAGATCTTTGCCTTGGACCCAAAATATGATCCTTTGCCTGTGAACATCCCCAGGGAATTGGACTTTCTTTCCTCTCACGACGTCCTGTGTGGGTTGGGTGGTTTCTCGTCCAGTTTCTCTTTTCTTTCGATGTCTGTGATCACTGCGGTTGATTGGAATTGCCTTGCTTCGGTTTCCTATCAAATGAATCACACCACCTCTTTCCTGTTGGCTGACATAGATCACCATGACACAGTTTATAAGATGCACCAGGCACAAAATGCAGCTGGCTGCCAACCCGTGCTAGCAGCTGGAATCCCTGTTCGCAGCCGCACTCTGCCTGCTGTCTTAAGGGCAGCATACTGGTTGAACACAGCTGGATTGCTGCTGGAGTGCGCTCCAGAGGCTGCTCATGATTTCAGCACCCAGGCTGCCATTCGTGAGTACGCCCAGCTGAGAGGTTGTGACATCTTCCAAAAAGTTTTGCATTTGCATTCGTGTTGGCCAGCCCGTAGATCACGATGGATTGCATTGATTGTTCCTAGTAGCCTTGGTTTTTCTGGGTTTGAAGATTTGCCTGTACTGCAGCCTATGCCAGTTTTGGGTGAGCTGTTTCCATATGATCCTTGGCCGGTTTGGCCACAAAAGGACGAGCAGCAACTTCAATGGACCCCCATTGAATTGCAAGCCTATCGTTGTCCCGACTTTGGACCAGTGAATCGAAAGCTCAACCTTCAAGAGCCATGTCCGACTGCATTGCACAGCTGGGGTTCCGTTTTGTATGCGTGCCCTTGCGGTTGCCGAGACCAGGGCATCAGCCCATCCAGCTTGCAACGACAAGGACTCCGTGGAGTTGAGGTTACCTCCGGCTTATGGCCACATGCCCCTAGACATGTTCATCCGAAAGAACTTCAGCTCATCATGGGATTTCCGCCTTTTGAGAAAACATTGGAGGATTGTAGGGCGCAGTTGGTTCTTTTCGGCAATGCCATCTCTCCCATTCAAGGGCTTTGGGTTTATGCCCATCTCCTGAAGCATTGTGGACTCTCACCATGGGGTATGACGCCTAGGGAGCTTTTGGTAAGGTACATGAACATGTTGCTTGATCAACGAAACCTGGTTTGGCCTAGCCCTACTGCAGGAGTAGCCACCCTGTCATTGACTTTCCAAGGTACCACCACTGAGGTGACTTTCAGTACTACTCAGACAGTACGTGACTTGGTGCGTGCCGAGGCACTTCTGCAAAGTGCTGTGCGGGTACAAATCAGCTGTGAAGGGGTTGTGTTGCCTGATTGGGCTTTTTTGCAGGAGCGAAGCTATCACATGGAATTGTTCCAAGAGCCAACAAGATCCGAGGGTCTCCTTGTGCCTGTTGTGCTTG